TTGCATCAAAATAGTGATTCACTGGAAAAAGATTTCCCACAGTCAACACATACCCACTCAGGTCACAAAAACAGAAATGATATCAATAAGGACAAAGGAAGTTGTTATTTTAGTTTTTGAACAGTCTTGATTCATACTTCCTATCATTTTGTTTGGAGGGAGATAAACCACTATTCCTACATAAACAATTAAACAGAACTCCCAGAAACTCTTCAAATCCTTAACCCAGTATTATCAGGAATAAATCCATAGTGGGAATAAGTTATGTTCTCCTGCTATCCAAATTGTGTTTCCATGCACAAAGTTTGAGTATGATATATCACATCATGACCTGACAATTTTTTTTAACCCAAAGATGAGAAATCATTATTGTAAACACTGTTTTTGTGGCATACTGTGATGATCACCATATTTCAAAAGGATCTCAGATGGAGCTTCTTGGTTCTTACCAAGTAGTGCTGGATAATTTCTCTGAGGTTTGCTCAGTAGGAAGCAGCCTGTCTGTTCCAGTTTTTCCAGCTCAGAGGCGTTTTGTGCTGCTTTCACAGCTGAGACCTGTGGCAGCTTGCTTCCTGGGGCACCCAGAGACTGGTGAGATGTTTGTGATCACCAACAGGGATGCTGGGGATGCTACATGCCTGGATTCTGACACTGAGTTTGCTCTCTGCAAGGCTACTGGGAAGTCCTGTTTGTAATTTTTTTTATGTTGTTTAAAAAGCTATGAATATATACAAAGCTAAAAGGTTTTTTTAAGAGCTGGTCTTAGAAAGAAAGAAATCAATTAGCAAAATTGATATAGCTTTTCTCTTTTTTTTTTTTTTAATGTTTTTCATGTAATGTTAAAAATATTGTGTAGTATATATGATTTTTCCTCCTTTTCATTTCCTTTTTTTTCCACATAGCAAATGTACTCCATGCATAAACCAAAAACACAGAGACAGGAGATTGTTATGCCCAGTCTCTTCTTGCTCTCAGTTTCATATTCAGGAGAGTCAAATGGTTTCCCTGCCTTTGGCCCCTGTTAGAATCATGGAATATTTTGGGTTGGAAGGGACATTTAAGGGTCATCTAGTACAATTCCTCTGCAGTGAGCAGGGACATCTTCAACTGGATCAGATTACTCAGAGCCATGTCCAACCTGACCTTGAATGTTTGCAGGGATGGGGCACTATGCTGGCAACATATTCCAGAGTTTTACCACCCTCGTCATAAAAAAACTTATTTCTAATATTTAATCTTAATGGATGCTCTTTCAGTTTAAAGCTATTAGTCCTTGTCCTGTCACTACATGACTTTGTAAAAAGTCCCTCTCCAGCTCTTTTGTAGGTCCCTTTCAAGTACTGGAAGCTGCTATAAGGTCTCCCAGGAGGCTTCTCTTTTCCAGGCTGAACAACCCCAACTCTCTCAGCTTGTCTTCATAGAAGGGGTGCTCCAACCCTCCGAGCGTCTTTGTGTCCTTCCTCTGGACTTGCTTCAGCAGGTCCATGGCCTTCTTGTGTTTGAGGCCCTAGAGCTGGATACAGTACTTTAGGGGGGGTCTCATGAGAGTAGAGGACGGGGGACGGAATCACCTCCTTCAACCTGCTAGCCACGCTTCTTGTTATGTAGCCCAGAATACAGTTCGTTTTCTGGGCTGAAAGTGCACATTGCTGGTTCATGCCCAGCCTTTCATCCACCAAACCTTCCTTAAACTTCATGTTAAGTTCCTTCTTAAATTTCATGTTCTCTCATACCTCCTTGGCAGACCTCAAGATCCTCCAGTCTTGAAGAAGTTTCTTCCCATCTGCCTTCTGAAGGTGGGAGCTGACCTAACTTTGGTCATATGGTAAGTGAGAGAGGTGTCAGGACTTCTTCCATGCAAGTAGGCCAGTTTTTTCTCCTCTTTCTCTTCTTCTACAGTGCATCATTTCCATTTCCTCTGATCTGGGATATTGCTTTTTCCCTAGATTTGTAAATTGCAATCATATAGACAGTTACCCGAAGGATAATGTAAGGAGAAATTTAAATATTTACTCATAGTCAGAGTTCACTGAACACATTTTCTTCAGCTTGAATTTATACACCCTGGTAAGATAGATAGAACTAGTAAGAAAGATAGAACTCATGGAAACTACAAATTCAGAGTTCACACTTCAAAGCTTTGTTTATATCATGTAACACAAAGTGATTCTCTGTGGGAACAAATTTACTGATGCATTTTTCCCCTGACTATGTTTTCTCATATCCCAGAAAATACATATGTATGTATAAAATCAAAAGTTGGGATGATATACCCAGATCTGTTTAAATTTCTTCCTGAGAAATATAGGGTAGTTAAATGGGGCCAATGGATTTTCAGAGATGAAGTCATGCTTAATGAAAAGATGAGTTTGCTTGTAATTTCTTCAATGACAGCAAATAGTACTGAGGCAGAAAATAATATTTGGTTGGATGTTATCAGTGTTTGGAAAAGCAGAGGTTTTGGTATGTCTCTTGCCCTTCTGCCCCTGTTTAGTCTCATAAAACTCATGTTTCTTTTCCTAGAGATTCTATCTGCCTAAATGGATATACCTAGTTTTATAAGAAACTTAAAAAAATTACTAGGTAAAAGCACGTATTTTTAATTGTTACCTGGCACCTGAATGTAACAGAATGTGTCTCTAATCAGACACAAAAATAAACAACATGAAGTTAAAACTTCCCTAATTATTCCAGTGCAACTGAATAAATCCTTACATCACTTGCAGCAAGCAAGCAATGTGCTTGTCTTTGAGTTCCCACTACACTAATTTTGGGATCGTTGAATTTAACTACTGCTTGCTGAGTAGTGCATGTTAAAGATGTCCTTTCAAGGAGATTATTTTAATTGCTGCCTTCTCTACTCTGAGCAGAGGAGGAAGAAAATTTTTATCGCTATCCTAACAAGGGATCAGAATGTGAAGCAATCATGGATTTTGTTACTACAGCTGTGATGTGATAAGAGCACTGCCAGCAAACAGTTGCACGTGTTTTAACATGTTGCTGCTTCTCATCTGAGAGGTGGTATTGTGTCCTTGTTCGATGCTGCCATTGCAAAGGTGTCCAGCAGGGAGAAAGTGGGCTCACTCAAACAGCCCTGATGTGGCAGAGGCTGAAATCCCTAAAAACTATTAGTTGAGATTATCTAACCACATTATTAAATTTCATAGGGGAAAAGTGGATCTGGACAAAACTTTTGCATCTGGCCTCACCATGAATGGATGAAATGTAAACTAGGATATGGAGACGAGACTTCAAAGGGGAGGGGAATGGCATGGGGACCCTCCCTAAAAGTTGAGTAAGGAGAGGGATGCTGGGAGAGAGGGACAAGTTCCTGGTTTTCCTATATGGGTATGTTTCAGTTCCATTATTTCCCTGCATAGCCAATCCACTGGAGTAACTTCTCTCAACTTGGAAACTATTTCTCATCCTAAATTAATCAAAGGGTAAGTGTGTCATACCTAAATACTAAGGAAAAGGTATGAATCAAAGATATGCTTTAGCTCTTCACCTTGTTCCTGCCTCCCAGATGCCTATGAAAGTCCTATTGTTGGGGTTTATAGCCATAAAATTAGGAGCCTCAACTCTGTCTCATTTCTGACCTGCCCATCCCTGACTTCTGAAGGTAGTTAAAACAGGAAGGTCTGGGCTGAAATGTACTATTAGGCAACCTCCTCTTTTCACCCTCCCCTCCAAATTTTAGCTGTCTTTTAAGCCTGTAGATAGAACTATCAGCTAGGAGACCGGCTTAGGTTGGAAGGAATAAAGCCCTCTCTTAATATTTCTGAAAAAAAGGCAGTTAAGAGCTCGAAGCAGGACAGAAAAAGCAGAATTAGAGACATGAAAATAGTGTGCACATTTTTATCTCATGACAAGGATAAGTGAGTGACCTCCTCTGTTACAGAGGGAGCTTCCTGTGTTGGCTGCCAGGATGATTTTACCCTCTCAGTTTTTAAACTGATGGCGATTCTGATGTCTGAAATCACTGTGCTTCTAGGTACATTACCAAAACACTTGGTTAAAAGTCAACAGAATGTGTCATTTTTGGGCACACAGTCAATAGAAAAAGAATTATCCATGTATAACTGAAAGTCTGTGACATGCTCTGAGGTTAACTGTGAGTACAGTTAATAGAAAATAAATTAATTAAACTGAGCCTTAAGTTTTTCCGATGCAATCATGCAATCTTTATACAATTTTGTTAAAAATGTAGCTGACTTTAGGAGAAAGCAGGAGAAGTGGACAACTTAATGTCTCCTCTTTCACATGTATTTAATATGTTTCCCTCAATGCTACTTTATAAGTTACTATTTTTGCAGCTAGAAAGTCTCACCTGTTACCTGATGGTCATAAGAACTGAGCGACTCCACTTCTGTACGTGTAACACATAAACATGAGAGCAAAACAACCTGTTCGGTTTTGTTTTACTTTTTTGTCATCAGTTCATGACACTGGGGGAAGCTACATGTGCTATCCATCTGGGGGACTGGACCTGCTTACACAGGTCCTCTGAGCCTGAGAGGTGTCCTGCAACCTCTGCTGCCCTGTCACTAGAAGCAGCACCATCACATCATTGATGATCACTTTGTGAACTGATGGCCAGCAGGTCTCATGTCACAGGAGGAGGTCAAGGGGGATTGTGACAGAAACCTTCCTCTTCCTTGTGTTTTGAGTGCAGAGAGGTGGCTAAGGACATGTCCTGGTCTGAGGGTGCTGCGCTGGCTGCCCCTGGGATAGATGTCTGATGTTGAGTGGCAGTTCATCAACATCTTTTTTGTGGCAGAACTCGTAGCAACTTGGTGTTTTTTCTTTTTGCAGGCTGGTTCTTTGCACACTTAGTGAACAGGTAGGAGTTTGCAAAAGCAAAAAATTTGTGTAGAGCAATTACAGAGCTGTTTGGTTGCTGGTGGCTAAGTGCCCGCTCCTGGTGACATTGCTAGTAGAGCTCTGTCACCAGCAAGTTTTGCTACAGGGGCAAATACACTTTCTCTTAATGCTTTCAGGTTCCAAGAAGACAAGTTGCACTGGAACTCCAGCAACATACTGTCAAAACCATCTGCATTGATCTTTAAGATGAGATTTCTAAGCACTTGAAACCTACCCACTGGGGTAGAAGGCTGTTTTCTCACTGTTTTCTGGTGAGACTCTATTTTTTTTAGTCCTCTAGCACAGTTCTGTATGGATCAAATACCAAAAGCTAGTTCACAGTATAAACAGTACATGAAAAAATATGAAAAGAGAAGAAATACAGAGTTTTATGGAAGCCATTATGTTTTGTTTAGAGATGGTGTGCTGTGCCAATAAAGTTTAATGAATATTGCATTTTGCCTTATTCATAGAGCAGGATGAGTGTAGGTCACCTACCACACACATTTTGAGATCGTAATCATTATACATGTTCAGTAGACAGTGTGCCATCCCACTCCCTTTTCCACTGTAAAATAAAAAGCTCTTTCGATCTGTACCTACTGTTCTTTCAAAATAATCTAACTTGACTTATTTTACTCCAATAGAAAACACCTTGTAATAAAGTTTTATGTTTTAGGTAAAGGAAATAATGAAGATCTCAAACCTAGTTTGTCAGTGAGTGACTTAGTATGCAAGTCAGAATTGTAGAACAATAGGGTTATTCAAACAGGGAAAAATGCGATGCTGATTTTCTTGTAGCTAATACTGAGTAAATCTTGTCTGCATGCAAAATATTACATAGCTCTGTATTTTTTGCATTGACATCTGATTTCTAGCATTGTGTGATTATATAAATGCATATATTGAATAAAGATTCCTTTTTTAAAACATCTGGTTTATGAAGGTACCACAACTGACTTTTGATGGTGTAATCCTCCTTTAAAACAGTTCCCATTGAATAGAACTATTAATAGTCCATGACATCAGGGGCATCATACTTGTAACTTCAGAAAATGTATGTATACTCACTGTGCAAAACCCCTTCCTGTTTTGTTTTCAGCATTGGTTATGTTACCCATTAGTATCTATTTTTGTTGTGAAACTGTGTCTCTTACATATCCAAATATTTTTTTTGCTATAAGGAAATGGATAATTTGCATGTACAGTAAGTGAAGTGGATAAAGACTCATTTTTCTTAGTTAGGCTCTGGTTTTAGAAAGCTTGTTACAAAACCTCATTTTATATTACACCTCTGATAGCAATTACTTTTCAGGATATTTGTTTTTTATTAGTTGAAAACTGAAACAGAGTAGTGAAAATTTCTTTTTTTTCCCCTCACAAGCTAATCCTAATTCTTTATACAGAGTTATAATGAAACTCTTAGTTATAGAGTAACTCAGTGTTTTTATTGCTGCTAATGGTATTTTGTCTGTAAGATATGAGAGATCTTTTCAGTGGTCATGCTATTACTTTTTTACCCTCTTCTCTCATAAACTAATGAGTAATTTTAGTTAATGCAGACTGGCTTAGTCATTTTGTAAGTATTTCAAGCTGCTGCAAGAATGACACAGCAATGTTAGTAATTAACTATGCCAGCCTTTATTTGTATTCTGACTGGTAACTCGACTAAAAGTTCCTAGTGATGCTGCATTTCGGTATGTATCATCTTCAAGGCTCAGCCATTCCCCCAGCCCTGGAGATATAAAGGCTTCAGTTGAGAGTGTCCAAAAGATTAATTGGACCCTCTCAGTTTTGTGCTTTATGTCACTGCTACTGAAGAAAAGAGCAAATGGGGAGGACTTAGCTTGTGCCTTGTCTGGTACTGTGTGACATTCTGAAGTTGCATATTTTTTATTTGTGACTCAAAACGGAAACCAATCAATCTGGGTTAAGAAATTCAGGGATTTGGACTGGGAAGCAATTCTAGCGTGGCTCATAATAGTTCATAAAATTAGCTTGGCAAGAAGATGTGCTTCTGTGAAACTGTGAAGTACCTGGGCTCGAGGTAAATCTGGAAGAGAAATCATTTTGACAGAAGAGCTTGTAACAGTCCAGCTCACATCTTCAGGTGACGGCAATGAAAAGAACCATCAGTATTGATCACCTCAAGTCCTTATAGCCTGAGCTCTTGTGCAGTGCGACGTCATCTTCAGCTCCTCTTTGCTGTGGAGATCCTGGGTAAGCACAGAAGTAAGGACAAATACAGAAGAGAAGATGAAAGTAGAGGTATAGCCAGCTGTCCACAGAACATCAGTAAGTGATTGTCCTACATGTAAATCCTCAGATCACAGTTTAGGATTTGATACCGAAGAAGTGGAATGCTGGGAATGAGCACATCTTAACATTTCCAAATAATTAAATCTCTTGGGAAACATTAATAATATTTCTCACCAATTTTGTAATGTTTAAGGGAAATTAATTTTGCTGTAAGCAGTTTTGCACATTTGTGCAATCACATTATAACTTTCATGCATAGAGATACCTATTAGGAAATGGGATAAAAATATCATGGGATGTTTGCAGCTGATGTGTCCAGAATTGGTCTGCATTTTAACGTACTAATCTAGTTTTCATAGTTTGAAAGAACAGCCCCCCCAGATACAAGCTGGCCTCATCATTTATCTGAAGGAAAGATGATTAACCTTTGTTTGCAGTTCTATCTCTTGACTGTTGGAGGCTACTTCAGTGAAGCTTGGTTTTGCTTTTTTGTGTCATCAAGGAGTAAATACCAAACCAGATGCTATTTTTGCTGCTCTACTGCTGGCTGCTGCCCTCCTCTACTTCTGAACCTACTGCCCTGCCATTTTCCCTACACCTGCATAAATGACTTGATTTTCCTCATCCTCAATCTCTCACTACTCTCCTTGAGATAATTGTCCCTTTCTGTTCAAGTGCTGTGTTGCTGAGCACAGGGGCTGAGAGCAGGAAGATTTTTCTTGCTGAGCTTCATCTGTGGCCTAAAAACTACTTGTGTGATGGAGGCAGAGTAGCAAAGGTAGCAGCAGCAGGAAGAAAATATAGGAACTGAAACTGAGGGGAACTATTGAAAAGAGTAGTGATAGAAGCTCAAGCTATTTCATACTAGGTTAAAATTCTAACCACTGAAGGAGAATCCTTTTCTAATCATGAAGTTTTACAAAGAATTCCACATTTTCATTACTGTTGTGCATCCTGAAAAATAGCTCTGAGCCCTAGGTGTTTCTTGAGTACTGTCTAGGACTGATCACTGCCAAGGGTATGAGTCTGCTTCTGCTGGGAAATGCTCTGCTAACTCAAGTGGCAATATATGTGTCATGGCTCTAGTTTGTCTAATATTGTTGTAAAACTATTGATGAACACTGTAGGGATCAACGTGATTCCACATGTTTGAACAGCTACATTTTTTCTGGTGATTATTCCCTCTCCCTCTAAATATAAAATTATATGTAACACCCAAAGTTAAATAGATTGATTTTAAATTTGTACTTATTCCAAGAGGAAAAGAGTATATGATGGTAATTCAAGCAAAGCTGTAATGTATAGGTATAAGGAGACTGAATTAAAGTTGCACAAGATTTCTGCCTTTTTCTTAAGTTATTCTGATGCAGTATAATTGGCTGAAAATAACTAAAAACTCAGCTGTGAGCTTCTATACACCCCAGAAGAAATGCCTATATATCTAAGTAATGAAGGCAAAACACCAGCAATAATTGCATGAACTACAAAGTAAACTGATTTCATCATAAAGAGAAAATTATAGATTAGCATCTGTACTTTTCCCCCCCCTCTGTTTTTCTGCACACCCTGCATTTCTTATCTGTGGGTGCGGTGCATTTCCTACAGCAGGAAAAGTTCTTGAGGGTTTGATGTCGTGTCTCAATAATACCTTCTGCTACTCAGCTGCTGTGAATCACACCCTTAAGTTTGGGGTACAGAACTGCAGAATTCCCTGTCCCTCTTGCACACAAGCCCAGCTTAAAGAGTGAAATTTTTGTATGGACAGAATTAAGCATTCAGATTTGAAGTTACACTGATACTTGACTTGTGAGTTAGATTTTTTGCTCCCTTCCCCTCCAACATGAAGAAATCACTTTTCTTTTAGATGACATTTTTCACAAGCAGAAGCCAGCAATATTTCAGACAGTAGGGCAGCTGCTATGCAAACTGCTACCCTAAAACAGGTTAATTTGGGAGGGTTTTCTTATGAGTGTCATATCTAATGCCTTGCTCCTTTCAGTTTTACCTTCTCAGAGCTGAGATGGGAGTTGTGATTAAAAGCAGCACAGATATCCAAATCAGGACGTAGGGTGTGCATTGGCTGGCTGACAGAGTTTAAGTAATCACCTGCAGTTGAATTGAGTCTCGGATGGGAAGTAGGAAGTGCTGTACTCAAGCTTCCTGTATAAATAAATGCAGCTTTCCCACAGCTACTGCATACAAGCTGTGACGTGCTTTTAAGATATAATGGCAGCATGCTCTAATAGCAGGGAGGGGATGATTTATCAGAGTGGCAAAGGGGCTGAGAGACAAGTCCTGCTGCAGTCCTAAAAAGTGTACAGCTGTCAGATACCCAGAGAAGAGGAAGGGCGTGTGAGAGCAATCTGCCTCTGCTCCTCATTGCAAGCTTCAGGGATTTGTGACACCGTGGTTCTTGGGAACGCTGGAGTCTGAGTGCAGCTACTGAAAAGTCACACAGCTAGCAGTGAATGCTACTCTCCTTTCAAGGTATGTTGGAATACAGCTTTCTGGCTATTTTTTCTTTAAAAGCAAAGGATACCCTAAAAGAACAGAAGGCCAGCATTTGCTTCTAATGGAAGAAAGTAGAAAAGGCATTTAAAAAAAAAAAAAGGAGTAAGGACTAGAATGATTAAACAGCTAAAATAAATGTTATTTGTGGTTTGTCTAAAATCAGACTATGTGGTGCGTAGAGCTAAGGCAAAAGGAAATCCTGGAGTTGTGACTATTAAAGGTACAGAAAATAGACATCAAGTACAGCCCAAAAGGCTGAAATTACTTTTGTCAGTGTAACTTTTAAAGAAATATCTGTATGGAGTGTTTGAAAATGCTGCAGTATTAGGACATATCTTGTGGAAGGCAATTGCTAAAATGGCATATTGTCAGTATGTTTTAGTTTAAATACAAGAACTCATTTCATACTGAAAAAATACCTGATTAACCTGGAGGAAGCCTGAGTTTAAAACACAGAGGTTTCCTCCTGGTCTAAAGGTATTTCTTCTGCCACAGTCTCATA